TATTATTATTTAATACATTTGTTTACACTTTTAAGTAGTTATTTGTTTACGAAGTGAACTTTTAACAAGTTTTACTATTTCTAAAAAATGTTGATCACAGTTTGACAACGTGTGTAAATTTTAAGTATTTGCTTATGTTGATTAACATACACTGGTTTACAAAGTTTTTATCCTTTCAATTAAAAAACATTGTTAACAACTAAGGTGTACTGAGTTTATAAAAAAATTTAATTATTAATATTAATATTACAATAACATTAACATTAAATTTTTTATTTCATAACTTTAAGTTGCTTATTATTAAGAAAATAATTAACAAAAAAAAAAAAACACAAACAATGCTTACAAAAATATTAAACAAACCTTAGCTTGTATATTATATTCTTTTATTTATTAATTTGTAAACTAGTGTTATTAGCAGTTCCATAAAATAATAATAAATACTATTAAATATGAAAAATTGTTAGCCGTGCAAATACATGGTGTTAACGAATTTTTTCTAAATCAAACATATACCGGTGTACAGGTATGAAGTGAGCGCAAAGATACAAATGTGTTGGTGGAGAACATTTGTTGTGAACGGGCCTTAATGGTTTTCTGGTTGGTTGGCATGACATCTGTCAAACATATTCTAAAACCTTACAGTCATTGCACAAACAACATCATATTTTTTCATTGTGTTGAAAATGTCAAATTTTGTATCGGAAAGTGATGATTTGAGGAAAGCAAATTGAAGAAAAGTGCTACAGAATCAACATGCAAAAGATGGCTTCAACGGTTCAGAGATAATGATTTTGATTTGAGAAATGAAGAATGTGGGAAACCACCAAAAAAGTTTGAAGACGCCGAACTGCAAGCAATATTGGATGAAGATTATACTTTGAGTCAAAAGCAAATGGCAGCCATGTTAAAGGTTGCACAACAAACAATTTCAAACTGTTTGAAAGCTATGGGAAAAATGCAAAAGTGTGGAAAGTGAAAGAAAGTATATTGTTCAATGCAACGGCTAAAAGACTAAAGTCAGCAATAAAGACGGAAATCATTATATCGGCTGTGTTTTGACCAAGAGAAGCACTGGGCGGAGTGCGTTAACTTGTGGCATTACCTAAGTATATTCGGCGACATGTTTCCACGCAATTTCATGTAGATAAAACACATAAAAATGCGGCATAAAGTCTGTTTGAAGAAATTTAACCGCAATGGGTTCATTTTGGAAACCGTGCTCTGAAGTAACGCGAAAGCGGTCTCGCGGAAAGGGAAAAATCCATGATAGAAGGGCGGAGTATTTTAGCGGGTACACCACTGACGGAATGACAATGCCTATATGTTGCAAAGGGGTTTTAACTCCTTACGGTCTAAAAAAAAAAAACAAAAAAAAGCTAGATATTAAGCTTCAATGACTATCCGGCTGCGCAATCTTCAAAAAAAAAGAAGAATAAACCTGACGCAAAAAAAATGCCGTTAATAAACGGCAAATGATCGGGAAGAGGTAAACAGCAGCATGTGTGTGAATAATACCAACGCCATCACCAACCTCGATTTGTGAATGTATTTGGCGGTGTTGCTGCACGCCCATCAGAACAATGTGGCCATACAACTTACTCCCACACACGCGCACACAAAATAAACACATTTGTTTGCTCAACACCAACGGCTTGGTGGCAAGACCCATTTGCATGGCAAGGAATTGCTTACGAGTTAATTAGATGCTACTTTTACTGATTCATTTCATCCATTCCATTGAAGAAGCAATGTTTGTTTCGAGTTTTCTTGTTGTTGTCAGTGATTCTAGATAGGTGTCAATTTATGCTTATTTGATGAGCGCTAATTTGACACATTTCCTAATCAACTGAGCGCATCTGACCAATTGATGTAGTTATTGGTGTTGTTGTGTTATCGCTTAATGGATTTCTATGTTGCTTATTTGTTTCACCAAAATGTATGGTATAGTTCTAGCTTTGTGGAAGACAGTAACGAATTAGTCACTTTATTTTGGCTAGTTTGAGCTATGGCTATGAGTTTACAGGCAACTGTACAAATATTTTATATAAACAAGCTCGTATGTTTATACACACACATCAAACATTTTGTTACCTGCATAGTGTACATTTGAGTGATGTTGTCAAATGGCACTTGCCTTTCAATGAACTGTAACCA